TTTGTCCCTGGCAGCCGCACCCTGCCGCTCCCCACCACCTCGGTTCGGCACATCAGCAGAACATTTTCCATTAGAATTACCCTCCCCGAGAAGGGAATGAGCACAAAGAAGTCAGCCCAGCATCTTTGGCTGAGATGCTCAGGCCCAAAAATAGCCCGAGAGTCCGAAGGGAACCGCCCCCAGGAGCCATTAGCAGCTCCAAAAACCAACAAAGCTCAGAGACAGCGCACGAGCTAACGGTCATTACCCGGCCTTCGGCTTCCGAGCAGGCTGGGACAGTCCCCGAGGAGCACAAGCTTCTTGTCACAGCACCCTCGCTACTGGCACACAGGACTTGCAAGGCGGAGACGGGCAGCTATCGGGGATCCCTTGGGGCCGGGTAACCAGTGCCCATGCCCCAGGCACAGCAGGAGTGCCTCAGGAGTGAAACGTGGCCCCGAGGGCAGATGGCTGCTGGCCCCTGCTCTCTTTTTCTAGTGGGACAGGGTGCAGACATCTGGGCACAGGGCTGCCTGGCCCAGCCAGGACAAGCCGGTCCCAGCTCAGCCTCAGTTTTGCCTCGATGCGCCTCAGGCACCCTGCCCAGCTCCACCGGCTGCGGCCAGGCTCCAGGGACCGGCTTCTCTCCGCGCCCCACTCCAGGCCGGGTTGGGTATTAGGATGGAAGAAGGGATGCTCTGGGGAGACAGAAATCCTTGCTCTGGGAAGAACATCAAGGGGATCACGCTGTACAGGGGTGAAGAGGGAGGGGCAGGTGGAGGGCGTTACTTGGTGCCCTCCTCCGGGTTGCCTTCACCATCTGTCTTCCCTTCCTCCTCCGTCTTCTGGTCGTCTGTGTTCAGCCTCTGCTGCTTTTTCCGGCGCACACACTTCACCACCATCAGCACCAGGATCACCACGGCCAAGAAGCCACCTACAGAGGCACCCACGATGACAGCCACTGTCGAGTCATGCTTTGGCAGCTCTGGGGAGACAGGGCACAGGCTCAGGGCCAGCTCCCCCAGGGAGCAAACCCTGCACACGCAGTGCAGGGTGAAGGCAAGATGCGGGCTAGAGCAGGGAGCCAGGCAGCACCCGTGGGTGCCTGACAGCAGAGGGGACCCCTCTGCCCTTACCTTTGGTGAGCACCTTTAGGCTGATGCTGGCGTGGCCCCGCTGGTTCAGGACATAGCAGTTATAGGTGCCCTCATCCTCCAGCTGCACATTCTTGAGGGTGAAGGACACATCGTACTTGGTGGGGTTCCCGGTGAACTCCACCCGGTTCCCAAAGCGGTCCAGCTGCTTGTTCATGATCTTCATCCGGAACTGCAGGAACTGGGCAGCCCACGTGGGAGAGGAGGTGAGACCGTGACACCACAGACACTCGCGTTCCCCAGCCAGGCATCGCCCTCCTCTGCACCTACCACCCTGGGGGTGTGCCCATGCTGCACGCTCACCCCCGAGCAGGGCAGCACCTGCTCTGCTCCACAAGCAGAATGATCCCCACTCGCGTGTGGCCGCTACAGGGACAGGGGCTCATCCCAGCATCTCTCCCTGCCTGTCCTGCAGGGCAGCTCTTTACACGGTCACTTGCTAATTCTCCCTGTGGTGGAGAACCACCACACAAGCAGGAACGCACCTAAAGGACCCCAAGGAACACTCACAGCCACTTTGAGCTCATCCCAGGACCTCTCAGCAGATCCCCAGCCCCAGCAAGACTCACCAGTTCCTCAGAGCAGTTCCTGCACTCCTGGTATGTCCAGTTGAGGGAGAACTGTTTGTTCTCTACCTTGTAGCAGGAGTTGAAGGTGCAGGAGAGCTTCACGGAGGAGCCGTTCAAGGCGTTGATAGTGGTAGGAGCCATGACCTCCATGCCCAGCCCTGTGGGTGCTGCAGCAAGCACAGAGAGCAAGAGCAGAGATGCAGAGGAGTTAGAAAGGGGGCACAAGCAGCCATCTCCCCCTCCCACCCTGCACACCGGCTGGCTGCACAGAGCTCACCCTGGGGGCTGGGATCACCTTTCAGACATATCCACACACAGACCAAACTGTAGCCAGCCAGGACCAGGGATCCCCCGCACAGCAGTGACAGCGGACAAGGAGGGAGCAGCCCCAGCCCTGGCACCATCCCTTGGCCCTGCTCTGCAAGGGCTCTCTGCCATGCTTGCCCTGATTGTGCCCATTGCTGGATTCTGCTGACTTCAGGCAAGCCCTGCTCCTTACCACTTAAACGAGGCTTTCCTGTTGCAGAATCAATAATGCTCTGCAAAGGGCTGAATGCAGCATCAGCATGCAGGGCTCAGCGCCACATCCGCAGAGAAATTTATGGCTGCGCTCATCAGATTTCGTTCCCAGCAGGATGCACTACAGCAGCGAGGGCTGGGATCTGCCAGGGCCAGCCCCTGGGGGCTGCAGGGCTATGCAGATACTCCCCGCTCCTGGTGGTGTTCGCACAAGGATTCTCTGGCTGGGAACGACTAGATCAAGATCTGCATCACTCCTGGGGGAACATGACACTCAGGCCTTGCTGTGGCAGAGAAACAGGGACTTTACCTGGCGCAGTTCACAGGGTAGGACAACTCACCCAGGGCTTGGGCAGAGATGAGGTGTCTGTGCCCTGCTCCCTCTTCCACTCCTTTCCTGCAGCTCTCCTACTCTGCTGGCTGCCCTGCCAGCACGCAAAACGCAGTGCCTGCATCCAGCATCTTCTCCCCAGCCTGCAAAGGGGAAGGTGCGTGTGCCGGGGGAAGGGGCGTGTGCCAAGGCAGTCTCCTGTGCATCAAGCTGGCCGCAACCTCTAGGGCTAATCCCCAAGAAGCACAGGGATGGGAGCCCTAGAAGGACAAGACTGAAAAGGGGTGCTGTGGCACCCCACAGGGCAGGGACACTGCTGCTGCCAGCAGGGGCTTTTCCAGTCACCTCACCTCTCCCCTTTAGCTGCTGCTGGCTCTCAAACCTTCTCCCTGAGATGCACCTAAGTCAAACCCTGTGGCCAAGCTGGATGCATGTCAAGGCTGCTCCACCGGCTAACCCACTCCATCTGCAAGTGGGGCAGGAAAGGGGCCAGGCTCTGCAGCCAGGGAAAAGAGGTTGAAGGTTTGGCTGCTTTGAGCCACAGGTCTCACTGCAAAGTGCAAATGGGCAGCCTCCAGAAGCAGATGGGTAACTCCAGGTATAGCCAAGCCGCTGGAGACAGCTCCCTGCTTGTGTCAGCAGCCAAGCAGCCACGGTAAGCACCCTCCATCCAGCCCCAGCGCAGGCAGGGCTCCCCACAGGGTGCTGGGAGGCGGCGATGGGGATGAGTCACAGCATTCAGGGTTGATCTCTCACCTTGGTGCCCGGTCAAAGCCAATCTCCTTAGAGACTTTCAAGAAAACCTTGTAGGGGTGGGAGAGGAGTCAGGAGCTTGCCTGTCCCAGGAGGACCCTTCACAGGGGTCCCTGTACAGAGGTGCTGGCTTGAGTGCCCAGTGGCCCTTGCACTAGCACCTGTGTGCCTGTGGCTGGGTGGCTGTGACTTTGTGATCCATCCTTGGGGTGCCCCAGGGCTCTGCAGAGGGCTGAGATGACACCAGGAGCTCTCTGCAGCAATAGGGTGGTCCTGCCCAGGGCAGGAACATACTGCAGCACACACCCTGGGAGCACTTATGTGCACAGGTCCAAACTCTGCCACTGCCTTACGAAGCCAGCGACAACAGAGAAAGGGAACAAAATGGCTAAAATACCTGCAACCAACCGTCCAGGCTGTGTCCTTCGGTGCTGCACACACTCCCAAAGGCTCTGTCACACTACACCCCGCACCCACAGCTCAGGAGGTAAAATTACACGCAGCCGCTAGAGTAGACTTTGCTGGGCTTTTTATCCTCCATTTCCCAGCCTCTCTCCTAAAGCACAGGCAGCCCACCGCAAGTTCCAGGACACAGCGAACAGCACTTCAGAGAGATGATGCGTCCCCGTTTCTAATCAATACAGACCCAAACCTGCTGACACGCGCCGCTGGCGCCGGGGCAGGGCAGGCGCGAAAGGAGGGTTGCCAACCACTTGCAGCCCACCAGCCTTCCCAGCCAGGCAAAGCCAGAGCTGCCACCTCTCCCCCCCTGCAGCCCACAGCCCTGCCTGGCATGCAGAGAGCCTCACACTTAAACAAAACTCCCAGCAAGCAGGATACACAGCTTTTTTAAGAGAAGATGCAGTTGCAACATACCCCCATCCTGCCCAAAAGCAGGTCACCCTGGCTAGTGGATTTCAGCTGAG